TTTTCGAATTTAAATTTTTAACCAAATGAGTAGGAGTGATATTTGCCATATTGCTTTTACCAGGTCATTCCACTTTTTACATTGTTTACTCTATAATATTGATGCACACCTTACACCATATTATTCATCACTTTCTACCTTATAATTAATTACACTTTTGTAGTAAGTTAGAAGTATCGGATTTTTTTGTTACTTCGGTTTCGATATAGACTACAGGATCATCTTTAAAATGCAGAGAACTGCGAAATGTTTGAGATAATAAATGCCGCATTTGCAAAACTTTTTAGTAAGCGGTCTAAGACACAGAACAGTGGGAAGCACTTGAAGCTGTGCCCAGCGTCTGAAGAGAAAAACACTGTGAAGCGCCACAGATATTTTTAAGCTTGCAGAGACAAGGCTTTAGTGAGTAGCAACGCATTTACAAAACAGATACAGAACAAGAATTTGTGTAAATCTAGCTTTATTTCTTCCGGATGCAAGGATGAAAATTGCTTTTACTTTTTACTTTTACTATTTTTTATCCCCTCTAACCACCCCGTTGCTAAGCAGCATATTAAAAACTTATGTGAAAAGCATTGCACAAACGTTTGTCCGCTCTCCTTATTTTCTTTTCTTAGTCGCGAAAGTCAGCGGAGCAAGACGGAAGATAAAAACAAAAAACCGAGGAAGCTTGCGGAATAGGGAGTATAGAAAAAAAGAAAAAGTGGTCAAGAGAATGAGAAGTAAGGCAGTCTAAGAAACCGACCAATAGAGAACAAATAATAGTGCAACAGAAAATTATTGTGAAAAATTTATTTAGTCCAGATACTTTCATCTTATCAGAGCAGTCTCATAAAAATTTTTGTGAACATTTAAAACGGAAAATTTTGTCCCAACTGCATTGTTCCTTTCCTTCGTATCTTTAGCAATTATGTAACTGAGTGTGAATATTCATACTACACATACAATTATTACGAACAGCAAGCTTTTAGAGGGAATATATTACTCTACTGGTGGAACCTCAAGTTTGTAGCCCTTGCATGAAAATTACCATAATAATTAAAAGTTTCCTAAAAGTGTTTTGCTTGTTTAAAACTTACATGCCAAAAACCTAATAAATAAGGAAAGAAAAGTAAAACACCTATATTCTCATCACTTTGGTACTGCTGCTTAGCGTGTACATTTGAAAATCCTAAGATTATATACAGATCTAACAACCGCATCACAGAGGGAAACGTGCTCACGATCAGCACATCGTACACGAAATTTGTGAGAAGCGTGAGGGAAACTTTCGATAAAGACGTATTCATTACAGAAAGAGCTCTAAAATGAAGTGAATTGTGTTTATGATCTCCTCCTAATTTTTATCAGAGGGGTACATCAGGAATCTGACACTTCCGAAGAAACCACATTAGGTAAGCTGTGGATATTCAATATTACAGTGAAGCAACCTTCCAAACCAGCTGCCGACCAACATCTGATCTTGAAAGAATAAAACAGATGTTGATCCCCACAGCGTTGCTCCGTCGTTGGCATATGGCTCCGTAATCACCCAGCTTTTACGGTCCCTCTGAAACTAACATTTAGTTTTAAACTGTCGAGGTTGATTAATAACTTAACCAGCAAGGACTTTCCTATCAAACCCTAACCTGAATTCGTATCCTTAACACTTGAGATGGAGACCGATGTTCTCTTAGCAGAGGGTTGCGTAAATGCTGTAATGCTTTGTACAACACCGGTTGCGTAGCTACCCATAAGTCACCATACTCGGTATCGACAAAGATGCCCATTGGAGCTGTTAGTAAGTTAATCTCGGTTTGTTTCACTATCGACATGTCTTTTTTTAAACGGTACACTCTTATAACCTGAAATGAACACCATTTTAAGCTAGTAGTACCTAACTCTCTTTTTTGCGTATTACTGTTAAGAAAATTTTTTAGTAATTAAAAAATTACTCAAGCCCCAATCATAGTCACTCTTTTAACCATTACAGCTAAAATCTTCGGACATAATTACCTCTTCAATGCTGCTTGCTACATATAGGTATTCTCGGTTTCTATCCACTGCTATGCCGCTTGGTGAAGGGAAGAACCTAAGGTAATAAGATGCATGCTCTAATAGTAAATGATCAAAAAGTTGAAAATCCTAATTGAGAATCTTCTAAGGTTGGCAATGGGACGGAGAAGCGTCTTTTTCGCCACTTTTTCTAAGACGAGAGGAAGATTGAAGGAAGATAGCCTACAGAAGTTATTAGCGACAGTGAAGTAATGAGGGTAAGGAGGAAAGATGAGAGCAAATGCCACCCAAATTTAATAACTCTAAAAACTGAAAAACTTTTCAAATTTTTTCATAAAAGTTATGAAAAAAGACTGAAGAATAAAAACCTACTGAAAAACTAACGAGCGAAAAGGCATTAGGAATATCTTAGCAAAACGACTTAGGGAAAAAGCCGAGAAAATGTCATAAAAAGGCAAAGAACATCTTCCTATCAGCAAGTAAGAAGAGTTAATGCACTTAATTTCTGCATGAAATCTATGAACGTTCTGAAATAAAGACTTTCTTTGTCAGCAACGCTCTACCGTTGTTAAAGTGGAACTGACGCCCTTTCCTGATTGATTCCTATGAAAACAAATGAACAAAAGCATTCCATGTTCACAGGGAAAAGTGGACGAAGGAGAGTATATTAAATCCAATTTCGTATTTCAAAATTGTTACAAATGAAAAACAGTGTAGTTACAATAAGTACAGCGAATTTCTTCAAAGAAATCAAACGGAAAACAGAAAAAAATTTAGTATCAGCCGAGGATGTGAACAATGCAGT